GACTGCTTTGGTATGTGTATGTCACCAGGTCTCTGTGGTGTTTCCACCAGTGACCACAACACCTCATGCTATCTACTTTCTTCTCTGTTGAACGATTTAATGCTAATCACACACACGCACACACACACAACGACCCATTCTCCAACCTCCTCTCTTACTCATTCATCCCATCTACCAACACACGTGTATAGTGTTGAACTCTCGCTCTCTCTCTTTCTCTCACACACACGCACGCACAAACACACACAGACAGATGCATATGTGCGCACACATTCACCTACAGATGGAGGAAATAAGCTCAGCGCTGCCTGTGTCTGCTAAGGATGTGAGGTGCAGTGATGGCACATTAACGATAGGACCCATGATAGCAGTACGCATCGGTCTCACTGAACAAAGCATGCAGCCAGGTTTTTAATTCAATGAGGATTGTTTAAGTGAAACAATGGCTCTGTGCCCCTCTGAGAGTTAGGAAAGGGTGAGAAAGGTGAGTTTGTCACTGGTAGCTAGCCGCTGTTTTTGTATTTTAGGCTACGGATGATCCCATGGGTTTGATGGGGTCGTGCATCAGAAATATTGCTGTGGTGCAGCAACATCCGCTGTTTTTCAGGTAACTAACAAAAAGATCTGACAGTGAGTGGGATGAAAAGGAAATACTACCACACATGCTCATTATGGCATCATAAAGACTATTTGGAGGCAATATGACTCATATATGTTTTGTATTTTTCCAGCGATTCTTATCAAGAACATCCTACAATGACACTCAAACAGTTGTTGATTCTCATTTTCTTGATAATTTTTGAAAATGCTGTTTGTGCTGATGGTACTAAATCAGATTTGTTACATTTGATTACCTTACGATATAATCCAGTCTAATACAACAACAGCACTTTCTACATAATATAATCGATTTCCTTTATTGGAGACTTTAAAATACAATAGAAATGCATGTGATCTCAAAGTAGTCACATATACCCATATATATACACTAGACAGAGAGCAACTATGTGGCCTGTGTGTGTTGTGTGTGTGTGTGTGTGTGTGTTTGTTTTCACTCCAGCATTTGCATTCCTCACAGCCCATTTGGTCCATGCTAATGGGGTCTACTCATGCAGAGCAGCAGGTCTTAATGAAAAACCTTTGGCTGGTAATCAGTGCTATTGATCAGCCTGAGCCCCAGCTTTAAGCAGGGCTAATTGATCAATCACCACTGGTTGCTTTGGATTAATGGAACATGACTGGTGCTCCCCTCCCAAGAAATACCCAGCTCTCATGGAGAGGCCTGAGTAAGTGTATGTGTGTGTGAGGTATTAACATTGTGCATATGTTTATGTGCATTTGTATGTGAGAGATCAGGAGTGGAAAGAGTACTAGATTACTGCTCTCAGGTCTTTCTCACTAATAGAGTCTCTGTAAAAGTCCCAATGTGACATTTTACCATAAATGGTGCTTACAGAAGTAAAGACCATGCATAACACTTTATCAATCCACTTAAATTACATTAGAATTGCTGTTTTTACAATGTACCGTTACCAACTTGTACCCAATTTTTTTTAACTCATTTGTTTTGTTCATGTGTTTTCAAGTGGTTAAACATGTTTTATAAGCTACACATTTAAAAAATAAAATAAAAATCAGATGTTCTAAGAGGTTCAGAGTGAGCCAGTACAGATACTTTTTCCTCTTAGTTATTAGTGTGTCTTGGTCAAATATAAAACTGTATGCTGTCAGTTTATTTTCATGTTTTTTAAAGAATGGGTCTACTGTAAAATGACATTAACACCTCAAAAATTTCACTAATATTTACAAATCTGCTTTACTTTTCATAAAGCCTTTGGTTTTAAGAGATCCTCCTGCCTGAACAAAAATCATCTGTCAAACTGTATTCATGTCCCAATGAATACAACTTGACAGATGATTTTTCGATCAAATCTACTATAACATCTACAACATGTGGTGTAGCTTTTGTTGGATGGTGCTGTAAACTGATAATGGCAATAAGTTAATATTGGATTGATATCAAAACATAGTGTAACTGTGAAAAATCATTAAAGGTATCAGGTATCAGCTGCAAAATCCCCATATTAACCCTAGTGTATATTACAATGTCTCTTACTACTCCCATAGCTGACAGACATGACACCAACAGTTCCCCAGCCAGGAAGAACTTAAGCACGTAGAACCAAAACAGGAAGCCCGAACAACACCCACAACACACACACACGTTCATAACCCTCCAATTGAATGACTGACAGGCTGGCTGGCCAGTAGGAGTTCCATGGAGGTTTTGTGTCTGTGTGTGTGTTTCGGTGGGTGGACTGAAGGTTCCAGCTGGCCTGTCATGGGACTCCCAATCGCGTGTGAATGGTTCTCAGAGAGAGCTATGGCTAACTGGTCCAACACTGAAACACTCAACAGGCTGGAAAAGGTCAGAGTTCAGCAAGTCAAAACCCAGGAATATTGTTTTAATGAAACAGGCCTGAACTTCTTTTAAAGGGATTCTTTTAAAATGTTGGTTCATTTAAAAAATGCTATGTTTCTAATTTAGATTGAAAAAAGTATTATTATCATAATGATTGAAAAAGTAGATTGGAAGATAAATTGAGAAATGTCTTCCATAATATGTGATTTTATTGTCACTAATTGTCACTTTCAATTGTCATAATTTTTTGGAGAATTAATTTCTAAAACACAATATCCTAGAGCCTATAAACCAAACTTAAGCAAAGGACCTTTGTCATATTTATAACAGATTCATGCATGGTGCTGCTGTATCACTTATAGCTGAGTGAGCCACTCAAGGGGCTGAAAAAAGAATTGTGCTTTTATTCTGATAATATGACAAAACATAACAACCTAGCAGCCAGTAAAAAGTTAAAGTACATTAACTTTACACAGGGCACACAAAGCCTGACAACAATCTAGCAACATGAATCACATCATTAATCAAACACAGCTGAAAACAATGGCCACACTTACAAAAAGCTTATCTTTGATTGCGACTGGACAGCACAACCTGTCAAGGCGAAGTCTCCAACGGCAACAGGCAACCAGTAACAGACCAGAGTTTCTGACTGAAGAGGACCGCCCCGAGAACACACAATCGGCACCTCCTATCATTTAGTTAACCTTGACCAACTAACCAACCACACATAAACACTTACACCCTCCTATCCTTTGACTGACTCGCACATTTTGTGGAATGAGACCACACTTCCACCCAATAACCTCTGGTGTGAACTTAATTGTGTATACTCTGGTATTGAGTTTCGGACCATGCCTGGGTCCCGTAGCTCTCAAACAGAAACAGACGCTGTGAACTTGACAATGAGTGAGAGAGAGAGAGAGAGTGAACTGGAAAGGGAGCGAGAGACACGGACCACCCAACGGCTGCGAAGAAAAACAAAGCTGGGTGGAGAACAAAGTCAGCTTCAATCACATCGGAGGTAGGACAGTTGAAAGTTGTTGTGTGGTAGCAGTTCGCTAAGGGTGAAACAGGCAGAGAGAAAGAGAAACTGGAGCGTTGATCATTTGATCTTAGAGTCTGTTTTTAGTAACATTTGTTAAAACATTTTGTTTAGATAAAACCTCTTGTTTTAAATTCAAATTAACTTGTCATTTTTTGTGTTATTTCTCAATATGGTTGAATATTTGACAGATATTTAATAATTTCCTGTGTTATCGAGGGGGAGGAGGTACACATGAGCAGTGTTTTTCAATCTTGGATTCATTTTAGACAATCATCCCATTTTCACTTATAATTCGGACATGAGGAATACTTACTTAGGGATAGAAACAAATAAATTAAAAACTTAGAATCCGAGTTCCTAAATAAGGAGTTGGGTATCTCTTCTCAAACCCCAGTTTTATGATAACAATCAACACTATACAAATATTAACAGTTAATTAAAGTGTCCATCTTTTGCCAACATTGCGCACACCGTACCGATCAAATAAACAAAACTACTTCATGAGGCAGAAAACGAGTCTTCTTTGTCGCAAAAAACAAAACAAAAAAAACAACATGAATGAAAACCACTGGTCTGGAGGTTTCAAGAAGTTGGATTATGGCTGCTTTTGAATCACTAATTCAACTGGAAAAACTTCAGAGTGTAAAGTGATTAACATTCTCACCTCCATTAAGAATAACCGTTTAAATGACCTTTAACAAGGTGCTTAACTTCTTAGTGTATGAATCTATTCATATATTAAAGTAACTTGTTAAAGAAGATATGTATGTGGTGAGTGATGTGATTCTAATGCTGGCCACCAGGGGGACAGGGATATGCAGGTCAGGGAGTTGGAGGCTTCAATTTATTTCAGTGGAGAGGCAGTCAGTCAAGCTCTAGTGAGCGTATGTGAGGCCGTGTGTATTAGAGAGTGAGTTGGAGAGAGAAAGGGACCTCTGCTCAGCCCTGTAAGTAGTTTTGTTTTACATAAGAGATGATTTTGGAGAGCACTGGTAATTTGAAAAATAAATACATAAAGGTAATTAATGTACACCAAATTAAGAAAATAAAAAAGTTACTTGTTGATTGTTTAATAATTATAAAGCAAGTAATATTTTAAAAAATATGTATATATTATGCAACAATTTAAAATTCAAAATAAAACATAAGCTGTGTTTGAGTTTAATTACTTTTTACTGAATACATTTTTAATAAGGAAAACATTTTCAGTTTTAAATGTATAAAGGTTTACCATGCTTTTTATTACTACAGCGTTAATAGTGGAGAATCACAAATATTTGTTTTATGTTATGAAAATTAATCAAACTGATCTGAATCAAACTGAAGAGTAATAACAGATCTGCTGTTGTTGAATGCGTTAACACAACATAGTAATCGCTCAGCCGCCGACTAAAGTCTGTTTTTGTCTTAAGGTCGAAGATCAAATGCCGCTGTTGACCCTGTGAACTGCCCTGTTACCCAAAGCTCAAAGTCCCACTGGAATGACTGACATACCCTGCTGGGTATATGTGTGTGTAAGGAATCAGTTACCTTTGTATGCAGATGAGGCCCTTTGGAGGTTTGGCTCAAGGAAGTTTCTAGTCTCTCTGGAACACAAGGAATGGACAGCTGACCTGAAGACAGACAGACACACGCACACAGTTAGGTCCGCCAACATTGTTCAGCTACACTAAAAAGTAACTGAATACACAAATGCACTCATACAAGGACACATCCTCGGAGCAAGTAAGTGAGCAGCGGTGTCTTAAAGTCATGTTGCAATGAATAATAACATAAAAGACCATTATTATCATATTTGAAGTTCATAAGACATGACAGAATGTCGTGCATTTTTTACAAACCAAATATTACCCTGAAAGATCCTAATACAACATAGTGGGTGTAATTTTTGTATTTGTAACGAATAATTATACAGACACGATCCAACAGCAACATTCAACAGGGTCTATATGTGGTTTAACTGATTCATTTGCATGTGCTGCATGCTCTCACAAACACACATGCACTTGGAGCATCAATTAAATGCAGAAATTGCTCATATTTATTTGTAATTTTGGAAGTATGACCTAAAACGTTGACCAGACTATATACGACAATATCCAGGAAGATGGCATGGTTAGGGCTGGTTTTAGCAATTTAACTACTTTGTGTAATTCTGTCACTGGAGCATTTAGTAAAGAGTAAAGAGTTATCTTCCAAAATTCTTTATTCATGGTCCATCTTGAAAAATGTGAATACATTAAGCTGATAATTCAATACCTCAAAATATGAACACACACATAGGATTGTGTGTGTAGGTGTCAGTTACCCGAAATGGCACAAATGCATAACTCTTTAAATAACAAAACAAAGGTATTTTAGTGTCCATCTAAAACATGAGTCAAGTTAAAGAGAATACAAATGATCCAAGGGTTTCTCCCCTCTATATGACCTGTAAGATGCACTGATCTGAACCAATTATAGAAGGAAACAAGACAGAATTACAAAGGATGGCCCAAAGGTGGAGGATTATAAATTGGAGCCAATTAAAGCAGAAAACGAAGAAGGCAAGACAAGCGTGGCTAATGATACCATATTCATCAACTTCTCATTTTACATTTCAGGCACTTAGCAGATGCTCTCAGCTGGATTGTCTTATAAAGACTGAGCAAGTACTGTAAGGGTTGTTCAAGGACACTTCCACTTCAAAAACTCAGATGACTGCTGCCGGACACCTGGATTGCTGCTTGGATCCAATGGGACAATATCTCTAATCACAACTCCACCTTGCTATCACACAGTCAATGAAAAACATTTGTATAAGAACTTTGCATCATTTCGAATCGTATTTATACTCAACCAATGTTAAATACTAAATTACTAAATGAACAATAATGAAAGATACATTAAAAATAATATAAATTATAACAAGGCACCTTGCCTTAAAAATTGTACTATGAGGCACAACTATAGCTAAGTAGTTCTACATATTGAGTGAATTTATGGACATTTATTCAAAATGGACAAGGAGGTACCTCTGATTGCTGATTTCAACAGTTTATATGAGAATATTGGGTGCCAGTATTTACTTTGAACTCAAAGAGTTAAAGACTAATCCTGTGTTGACCGTAAGATTTCCTGATCTGTCTGACACAGCTTGGTAATGTCCCATTTTCAAAGGCTTTGATTGGGTTGGTTGGAAGGGAAACCATCCAACAGAGCAACACCAGGCCTGAGTAAATTGGTAAATGATTCAGGTACTATGTTAGATTTGGGCTATTTTTACATGTCATGGTGAAGAAACCTGTTTTTCTTTAATTATACATGTATCCAGCAGTCCAACAATCTGTATGTTAAACATGAAAGTTACACACATAGATGTATGGACACAATCTCAGGAGGTATATCATTGTCATGAACCCATCCACCCCATCTGTCTGTCGACCTGCCTGTCTCTCTCCTGTCGTTCCGGGGCTGTTGTGACTACTCTCCAACAGGCCTCCTGCGTCTGGATTAATCTCCCTGGTTGACTGCTGATCTGAAGGTGGGTCGGCCGCCATCCACCAACACCAAAACTAATTTCACTGTGTCACTGCACGACAGTCCCGCCCACCATCCCCACTGTCACCCACACATGCACACACACTGCAAAATATCTTCATCTGTCTCTGTCTCATCTACATGGACGAGGGCAGGAGGGCGGGTGACTAGTCCGAAGGAGAAAGGTCAGTGCATTGAAGGAGCTCATCATTCTGAGGTGTCAGAGCCGCTCTTTTGGAGAGCAGATGAAGGGGAGAGGATGGGAGGGATGGAGTAACAGAGAAGGAA